CTTCGGGCCGGCCGTGGCACAGAGCTGCCCCAGCCCCTCAGCAGCTCCACAGCCTCTGCTGGACTCTCTCCAGTAGCTCCTGCTCTCTCTGGAACTGGGGAACCTAGCCAATAGTCCAGAGGTGGCCTCACTGGGGCAGAGTAGAAGGGACAGAGAACCTCCCTCGACCTGCTGGCCACACTCTTCTGAATGCATTGACCATAACTCTTCTTGGCCATGAGGGTCCATTCCTGGCTCATACTTAACCTATTATCCCCCAGGACTCCCAGGTCCTTCTCTGTGACCACAGTGAGAGAGTCAGATGAGTTAAGGGATATACTGATCACTACCCTCATGGTCATTCTACCTGAAGCTTTCTAGGTAGATATTCAGAGAAATCAGCCCATGAAAAACTAAGAGAACTCCACCTGTAAATGAGGTTTCTGAACTTTTTGAATCATCAGACCCTGAAATTGAAAAACTTTTAAGCCAGCCACTGTGTTCATCAAAACAATAAACAGGAATAAAACCCTGCAGAGTTTCCCTCTTAATGGTTTTTTTTTTCATAGTTTAAAAAATGGAAAATTCTTAGGACTGTGGATGTTCTACGACCTTCAGCCTATTACCCATAAACTGATTAACAAAGCCAAGCATGGCTGGAGAGTTCATTTTGGGGAGATTTTTTTTTTTGGTGAATTGATTTGGCTCCAATATGTATCAGAGAAGAAGCAGCAGAGCTGAAGGAAGGGTGAGGAACAGGACAAGACATGATCTCATCTGAACCAAGAGCAGGCAGTAGACAGAAGGTGTAAAACCACTTGTCTGCACATATCCAGGCAAAGCAAAAATGAGAAGGTTGCTGCCAAAAGTCATCCTGAAGAAACACAAAGGCTGAGGAACATTTAACATCTCTGTGACCATCCAGAAAAGAGGTAGAGCAGGTGGGAAGGACTCCTGAGGAAAATCACACTGTGGTGCTGTGGATGTGGGTAGAAGAGGTGCTGGGCTGGTAGGGTGAGATTCCTTGCCCAAGCTCAACCTCTCTGTGGCACTGGAGAAGAGGACATGGAGCCAAAAGCTGGGCAAGTAGATTCCTCCCCATATGAGCCAGTCAACTGGGCTACTGAAGTGCCCAGCTTGACCTGTGCCAGCCCAGGAGGCTTAGAGAAGTGAGAAGATCTAAAGGACACTGAGTGTTGCCAGATTCCTTGGACTAAGGGATCAGATAGAAGAGGAACTGTCACCCCAAGTAGCCTCAGGCCATTGGATAGGGGTAAAAAATCCTGGAGAAACACCCACATCTCCTGGGGAGGGATGAAATTAAGGGGACCCCACTCTGAATCTAGAGGCTTTGGTACCAGCCTTATCCAAATTTTTTGCCTGAAATGCACAAGAACGGCCAGAAAAGAAACAAAACATGGAAGATTTGGAATCACAAGGATGAAGAAAAGATTTTTTAACCCCAGCACCTCTCTTGGACGTGTTGTTTTTATCCAGGTTTAATGACAGCTTTCAGCCAGTGATTCTAAATAATCCAGTGATGAATTATCATCCACCTCCACTTCGGTGAGGGCTGCACTTCAGGAGGAGGTTTTACGTTTGTTTGTAAGTAATTTTATGACTTTTGCTAATTCCTTGAACCCTGCTAAGTGTTTGTCAAGCATGTTATTGAGCTCTGGGTAATAAACAGAAGAAAACAGTGAGTCACTGGTGGCTTTGGGGGTTTTTCTTGGTCTTATTTTGTTGTGTGTTTGTTTGTTTTGTTTTGTTCCAGCAGCGAAATGATACCAAGAAATTTCTTGGAGTGAAGGAATCAGGAGAGTCATCCCATCTATTTGGCAGGATTTAAGGACAACATACTTCTGGAAGGGTGAGAAGCCAGAGGCAGCATACTCAGTGTTCTTCTCTCTCATCAGAGGCTCAGCCCCAGGAGAAGCTGAGCAAGGCAGCTGAGCAAAAACATCTGGGCGGAGAAGGTAAGCAGCAGGTACAGCTGGGCTGGCCAGATGTTTGCAGAGCTGGTGGGTGTTCCATGCCAAGCTTTCCCTGGAGTTTCCTCCTACAAGATTGCTTCACTTCTCTGCAGTACTATTGCTAGAGTTGTTATATGGAGGAGAAGGACAACAAGAAGAAGAGGGCATGAGAAAAAAGGGTTGTTCTTGGAAAACCTGACATTTCAATAGCTGCCATTCCCTGGTCAATGGTCATGAGGAGTACTGACTTATTGTAATGATGCAAAACAAGAAAAGAATATCACAGATCATAGAATCCTAGGTTGGGTTGGGTTGGAAGGGACCTTAAATATCATCCAGTTCCAACCCCCCTGCCATGGGCAGGGACACCTCCCCCTAGAGCAGGTTGCTCCAAGCCCCATCAACCTCGTCATGAGCACCTCCAGGGATGGAGCATCCACAGCTTCCCTCGTATCATCCAGTTCCAACTCCCCTGCCATGGGCAGGGACACCTCCCACTAGAGCAGGTTGCTCAAAGCTCCTTCCAGCCTGGTCTTGGGTCCTCCAGTGATGGAGCATCCTTTGGAGGCCAGAACCTGAGAGGTTGTTTAAAGATGTGGGAGACAGAGTCAAGATCATAGAATCCTAGAATGCTTTGGGTTGGAAGGGACCTTTAAAGCTCACCTAGCTCAACCCCCCAGGTCATCTAGTGCAACCTCCAAGTCACCTAGTCCTGTCCCAACTGCTCCTCTTGATCTCCTTTAGGGTTTTGGGGAAGTTAATCCTTCCTCTTGCCCTCAGAAAACCAGGTGATAACATCAACTGGATGCACCTCAGAAGTGCTGGTGGTTGTGACCCAGCAGCTGCATCTAAAGGATCAGGATAGAGAAGAGATTCTCTCACCAGCCCCACCTGCATCCTAAAGGACTTCTGCAGCCTCACCCAATATGACTTTCCTATTTCTTTTGAGTAACAACCAGGGGAGGTCCAAATTCTCCAGGTACTAGAAACTTGCCAAGAAGGAAGAAAAAAAGAGAGAACCAAAAAAAGCACCATGAGGAGCTGACCCTTCGAGTGCAGCAAGGGACCAGTGACGCTGCGACAGGGGCTGAAGAGATGGTCTAGGCTGACTTGGCCAGAGTCTTTTTGGGGAAGGATGTGCTGCAATAAGAAATTTGCTCTCTGTTCCTTATTTCCCACTTCTAGGCAGCTCTGTGTCATGCTTGGAAAGCAGCAGAGCCCCTTCACTAGGTGACCAGAAGGTGTGGAGCTGCCCCAGCCCAACGCAATGTTGGCCAACAAGGACCATGTCTCCTCACTGCTGCTGAATCAGGATTTCTGTATCAGGAAACCACTTTTTGGCACACTCTGCACGGTGGTAAGATCCTCCTGGTCTCTCCCTCCTGTAGGAAGGAGGAACTTCCCTTTGGAGGCAACCACAAACCCATGTCCTCACCTGAGCATCTCCAGGTGATCTAAGTGACTTGGATTGAAGTTAGACTTGTTTACACCAGCTAAGAGTCTGACCTGCTCTCTAGAGGTGTGTGTGTGGCCAAAACCCAAAGAACAGGGACCTTCAGAAGATGTTCAGAAGGTGACCAGCCGTGAGCAACCCCTGTGCTTTCACCCAGCAAATTTTGAAGGTGGGTCTGTCTGGCTGGACCCAGCAGCTTGTGCTTCTAGGTGATCCAGGCAGGAGTCTTTCTCCTCGTGAGGGTTTGGACTAGAGAGAAACAGGAAATTTGGAGACGTTCAGGCAGAATGAGAAGCAATTTAGGGATTTAAAAACCCCACTGAAGCCCCTTTCCACGAGCACCCACAAAAAGGAGGGGGGGGGCCGGGGTTGCTACCCCCCTGACTGAC